GTGAGACAGGGTCTCACTCTGTTACCCGGGCTGGAGGGTGGTGGCCATGATCATAGCTCATTGCTGCCAAGTAGCTGAGATTACGGGACACATGGCGCCACGCCTGGCTAACTTTTGTAATTTTTTTTTGTAGAGACGGGGTTTCACTTTGTCACTTAGGCTGGTCTCAAATCCCAGGGCTCAAGTGATCCACTCACCTTAACCTCCCAAATTGTTGGGATCACAGGTGTGAGCCACTGCACCCAGGCTCATGTTATTTTTGAGAGAAAATAAAATCTGAAGAATGAGGGGACAGTTTTGATTTTCAACACGACCATTGCATAGCTAATAATAATATAGCCATGATTCAACCACCCTGTCATTTTGTTGTAAAAGTTGAATATAATCTTGAGGCTGCCATGGTCCAACACAATTCAAGTAAATATAACAGTGCGAAGATAATTCCTATAATTGAGATTTCCCCCAAATATTCCCCCTAAATGACTTATAGACACCTGATGCTCATTTAAGTAGAGATTCTACTCTTAGGGTTGAAGTTCCATGTCTGCTCTATCCAGGTCCTTACTGTGCATGGATTCTCTTGCTTCACATCCTTGAGATGCTGGGGCCAAGTGGCATAGGTCACCCCATCCTCGTTCGTTCTCCCTGCAGGTCTGCAACTGTGGCCCTGTGAAGGTACAGAGCTGGGCAGGGTGTGGCTTTCTGGCCGTAGTCACCCCTTGCCATGATATCTGCCTACTTTCACTGATCTAGCCCTAATGACTGGAGGAATATCATGGAGGATGTTCCTGCCTTGTGCTGACACCAGGAGAGGTCTAGCACCTGGGTTTCTTAGAAGACTTCCCAAAAGGCTGTGCATCCTGACCCTGTGTTCCTCTCACATCCACATGGACCCTGAACCACTTTCCTCTGGAGCCTGATTTTTTTGTCCAGACCTTCTCTGCTTTTATTGATAATCTCAGGATTGTGAGGTGATGATGGCCATTGACAGGGTCTTACAGTGCAGAGAAGAATGTCCAGGTTTCTTCCTGTGGCTTCTCTCTTTTCTCCCCAACCCCCTTTCCTGAACCCCCCACTCCCGAGGTGCACCAGCATAGGGGAGGCCACATGGTACCATTTTTACCTAAATGTTTGGGAAGACATTCTTTTGAATCTTCGAAATCTTGAAAGGTTTTGAGACATGTGCTGGCAAGCAAAACATGCAGGTTCCTGCCTTTCCATGTCATCCAAGCTTGTGGCTTTGTTTGGTTTTATTTTGCTTTTTATGTGTTATAAAGTTGTTGAAATATTTTGGTCCTTTTTTGTTATCAGAGAAGCTGGTAGTGTTCTGTCTGTAGTCTGATCAAAGTGAATATGGCCCATGGATTACCCTGCAGGATCACAGCCTGAGCAGACAGATTTTGAAACTTGGATTTGCAACTTTACCAAAAGTTTGAAAAAAACATTTAATCACACGCACACACAGCTTCCACAAAGCAATTTACTTCCAACCGCAATGTGTTCATTCAAATGATTTGTTCAGAACTATACGACCACGCTTAGTTTCACTTCCCACCACAGTTCTCTGATAACCTCTGAAAACTCTGTTTTTGTGGTTATATTGTCATTCTTTATTCATATTTTAAAACTATAATCAGGTCAAAATTACAATTTTTAACTGGGAATGTGGATTGGTGGTTAAAAACAGGAAGCTTGATGTGTAAGTCTGAAAAGCAGTGAAAATATGTAAGAAACTCAAAAAATTCAGAACCTGCCATTACTGATGATTGCTGCAGAGTGTTGCCACCTGGGGACTCACTGAAAACTTTCCAGTAGAGAAGGATGAGGTTACTAAGCAGCCATAAGTGAATGAATATATAAACATGGTTGATCTAAAATCTTGGATTATATTTGGATGTCCACGTGGACAAAAGTTCAAGCAGTATCACAGACTGAACAGTGAAAAGTAAATATCCCTCTGCAGAAGATTGTATTTTCCAAAGAGAAAGGCAATCATATCTCCTCTCCCAAGTGTTATTCTGCAATGCGACCTTGACATTCCAACTGTAGAAAGGAAGAATCTAATTTATTTCCCTTTGTATCTGGGTTGTTTTAGTGACTTGCTTGAGTAATAGAATGAAATGAGAGTGATAGTCTGGGACTTCCAAAGCCAGGTTGTAAGATGCCTCACAGCTTCCACCTGGGAGCCCAGGAGCACTTTCTTCTAAGACGCTTCCTCTTGAAGCCCGGTCCCCTGGCCGGGAGAAACCACATGGAAAGACACAGGTGACTGCTCTGCTTGATGAGCCAGCAAAGCTTCCAGCATCAGCTGTCAGTCATATGAGTGAACCATCTTGACATCCGGCTCAGGTGAGCTTACAGGTGCTGGCAGCCCTAGTTGACTACCCGACAAAACTCAGCCACACCACAGAGCTGTTTTAAGCCACAAAAGTATGAGTGGATTGTTATATGGCAGTAGATAACTGGAACACCCTTTCATTTCTTTTGACAAATTTATTTTGTATTCTTTCAGTGACATTTTATGCACACACATTCAATGACGTGTACGTCTTTCCTTTGCAAATAATAGCATCATAAACCTACTACAGTACTCACTCTGCTTTCTTTTTTAACCAATAACACAGCTTAGAGATTATTCCATACCTGTTCACGTAGACCTGACTTGCTCCTTGACAGTGGGAGAGTACCTTCTATTTTAGCACCATAAGTTATTTAACTAGTCCACTATTAATGGACGCATAGTTAATTTTGTTAGTACAGACAGTGATTCATTGTCTATTCTGCTAAAGTATCCTTTTGTACAATGTCTATTGTAAATATATAGGTTACCTTCCTAGAAGATATTTGTAGCTTCTTTAATTCTATTGTATGTGCATTTAAATTTTAGTAAATACTGCCAACCCCCCAGAAAAGAGGTTGTGTCAAGTTATACTCTCCCCATTCAGATTTAAGGCTGTTTTCCCAGAGACTTGCCAAAGCAATGCATTCATAAAGTTTTAAAAATTGTTTACCATGGATTCTTACTCAAATTATGGATTTTATTATTCTGGAGAAGAAAATGAGCTTAATTTTTGACATCTGCTTGATATCTTTGTATTGCTTGTTTGAGAAACTTCCAGCTATAATTGCATCACTCATTCTTGTCAAAATATTAAAAACTAAAATTGTATGAATTTGGGAAAGATGACATGAGCTATTAGGTAAAAAGGTGAGTTGAAGAGAAATAGCTTTTTTTATTTTTTTTTTGCAGACAGAGTCTTGCTGTGTTGCCGAGGCTGGAGTGCAGTGGCACCATCTTGGCTCACTGCAACCTCCACCTCCTGGGTTCAAGCAATTCTCTTGCCTCAGCCTCCCAAGTATCTGGGATTACAGGAGCCTGCCACTATGCCTGGCTAATATTTTGGTATTTTTAGCGGAGACTGGGTTTCACCATGTTGGCCAGGTTGATCTCGAACTCCTGACCTCAAGTGATCTACCTGCCTTGGCCTCCCAAAGTGCTGGGAATACAGGCGTGAGCCACTGTACCTGGCTAGAAAAATAAAGTTTAATGAGATTCCATTTTTTCGAGATGTGTGAAGCTGCACAAGAAAAAAATGACTGGTAGCAGATATACAAAGTGTTAGTAAGAAGCACAGTCCTTCCTAATTATAAACCACAATGCATCTAGCAAATGAAACGTTGCCTGCAATTTCCTGTAAGGTCAGTGTCACAAATGCTTTGGAAGCATTTATTTGCCTCAATTCTGCAAAAGGAAGCTAATATAATATTTAACTACTGCAGAGGGCATCTGCTTGGATAAAATCTGTCTAGGAAGGGAAGAAGGCTGCAGTTATTATTCTGTGGAGGAGGAAACTCATGGGGCTGTTAGGAATTTCTGCAGTCATGAATGACAGATTGTGTTATTGAAGATCAAGGTGTCCTCTCTACATCAACTTGGGTTTGGTTGCGAAACATAGCAGCCTCCAAAACACAGCTGGTTATTTCACCTTGGAGACCAGGAACTGTGAGGCTGCCATGGAGGGAGGGTCTGAAGCCTGTGTCGCAGTGAGTCAGGTTACACCTGATGCTTATTCAATCCTTGGCAATGATACAGTGCATAAAAAGGTTTCCTATGATGTTCTTCTCCCAAGGCTGGAATGACTCCCTAAATACAGAAAGCAAACAGCATGTGGGGCTGGCCAGAAATAAACAGGATCTGAGAGCTTTGTGAGAACTGTTATTAAAGTTTAAGTATCATCACAGCTAGGGGTTCCTAAAGCAGATAGGAAATACACATGCGGTCAATCAATAGGTGTCTGTCGATTCCTAATGAGCTGACCCACTAGGAAAATCAGGTTAGGCTCCTGTGCATGTGCGGATACATCAAGGGCCCCATTCACTGCTGGAGGCCCTGGAGGGAGCTCTACCATTTCTTCAAACCTGTGTTTGGTAGATTAAAAACAGGGTCTTATGGCAGTGTCTTAAATTTCTATAGAAAAGCACTTCCTGGGGCTAAGGCGGGAGGATCGCTTGAGTCCAGGAGTTTAAGACCAGCCTGGTTAACATAGTGAGATCCTATCTCTACAAAAAATTTTTTAAAATTAACTGAGCATTGTGGTGCATGCCTGTAGTCCTGGCCACTGGAGAGGATGAGGTGGGAGGATCGCCTGAGCCAGGAAGTTAAGGCTGCAGTGAGCCACTGCACTCCAGCTGGGTGACAGAGTGAGACTCAGTCTAAAAAAAAAATGAAGAAGAAAAGAAAAAGAAGAAAAGCACCTCCTGGAATAAGATGGGCTCAGTAAATAATTTTTGAATGTGTGAATGAATGAATGTGAATAAGAGAGGCAGCTTGTCATTGACTTACAAAACAGAGACCTCCACTTGTTGACAATACATGAGAAAACTTCAGGCTTCATTTCTCAGACCTTTATTCTTCTAAACAAGGTCCAGACCTCTGTGTGTTATGCTCTGTTAAGCACAGAAGTTCTTCTATAACTAATCTGGACCTGTGATTCCTTGGCTCTCACAATCCTCTCCCCTCTAAGAAGCAGGGTGAGCCCACAAGAAGCAATGGAGCAGGGCAGCGGCCGCTTGGAGGACTTCCCTGTCAATGTGTTTTCCGTCACTCCTTACACACCCAGCACGGCTGACATCCAGGTGTCCGATGATGACAAGGCGGGGGCCACCTTGCTCTTCTCAGGCATCTTTCTGGGACTGGTGGGGATCACATTCACTGTCATGGGCTGGATCAAATACCATGGTGTCTCCCATTTTGAATGGACCCAGCTCCTTGGGCCTATCCTGCTGTCGGTTGGGGTGACATTCATCCTGATTGCTGTGTGCAAGTTCAAAATGCTCTCCTGCCAGTTGTGCAAAGAAAGCGAGGAAAGGGTCCTGGACTTGGAACAGACACCAGGAGGACAATCATTTGTTTTCACTGGCATCAACCAACCCATCACCTTCCATGGGGCCACTGTGGTGCAGTACATCCCTCCTCCTTATGGTTCTCCAGAGCCTATGGGGATAAATACCAGCTACCTGCAGTCTGTGGTGAGCCCCTGCGGCCTCATATCCTCTGGAGGGGCAGCAGCCGCCATGCCGGGTCCTCCTCAATACTACACCATCTACACTCAAGATAATGCAGCATTTGTGGTTGATGAGGGCTGCCCTTCTTTCATGGATGGTGGAAATAACAGGTATGGAGTATCTATTGGGAGAATGCTCTCCTTCTAGCCATCTCTGTTATGATCTGTGGCTGTGTTTGGTCCATGAATAAGGTGTTGGGAGAATGTGAATCTCTGCTTAGCCTGTTACCCACAGTGGCAGCCTTGATTTGTGAGTGGTGCTTTGGACCATAATGTACCTGTGTTTTCTGCTCACATTTCAGGCCCAGTCTTGATGCTGAACAGCTAGAAGAGACACAGCCTGAAGAGGAGGCCTGTGCCTGCTTCTCTCCTCCCCCTTATGAAGAAATATACTCTCTCCCTCGCTAGAGACTATTCTGATACAATAATATAATGCTCAGCTCAGGGAGCAAGCATTTCCATCTTTGTCACCTGACAACCGTGGTGCTCTATGTTGTGACCTTCAGAAGTTACAGCAGCACAGCTCGGGCAGCCTGTTAGAGATCATTCAACAAATAGAAAGGGGAAGTGGGAAGAGCAGGGTCTCAGATTGGTAAAAATTAGGCTGGGCCTGGGAAATTCTCCTCTGGAACAGTTTCAGATTCCCACGGTTAAGGAATCTCCTGTGTAAGGCTCGGGAGCAGGAATTTCACCTTTTCATCCACCACCTTTCCTCTTCCCTGTAGGAAGGCATTGGTGGCTCAATTTTAACTCCAGCAGCCAATGGAAAAATCACGACTTCTAAGACTTTTGGAATTTCCACAGAGGGAAGAGTTGGGTGGGAAGGAAGCAGGGAAGAGAAAGCAGGCTCAGCTGGAGATTTCCCAGTGGCAGTCCTCCAGCCCAAAGCAGAATCATTTATCCCAAACAACTTGGCTGCCATCTGGCTTCTCTGAGGACTCTGGATACCTTAAGGCTATAAAACAAAACAAAACAAAACCAGTAAACCAATGAAATAAAATAAAGCATGTCTTCTGTTAGAATAGTATTGGATAGTTGGCTAAATTATACAGAATACACCATAATAGGATAAGGCTGTGAATAAATCCTTCCCTGATCACTGAGTCACAGTGATCCTTGGCTGCTGCTGTTCTCTTCTGCAAGGTTGAAGCTTGATGTGTGATGTACGTGGGTGGGCTGTTGGTCCACCCCAGGTTGGGGCCTGTGCCATGCATGGACTCACTGGGCCCAGAGGCTGGCAGAATACAAGACTTTCCTAAGCACCCTCAGGTTGGTGGAGCGAGACAGAGCAGAGCTGTCATGTCAACACACGGGCAATTATATGATAAAAACAATTCCTATGACTAAAAGAAACTCATCCTCTTCATTAAAAAACTTTGGTATCCTTAATCTCTCTGAATTTGGCTGTGTAATAAGCAACTGAAACTGACTCACAGGCTTCAGAAGAGACAGTTTAAAAACACTAGGTTTTAAAAGAAAATCTTTGCTTTGGGTTTCAAAGGCAAGGCCACTCAAGGTAAGTGTAGCACATCCCCCCAAAAGACACAGGATTTAGAAATCCTTTAAACAATGTTGATATCATGTTTGTATATGGAGCGACTTTCGCTAACTTTGATCAGAAGTATCTAGCTTTCCAAGGATACGAGTGAAGTAAGCTCCCTGAAGAAGTATATTATTGTTGTCATTTATGTTATATCTTAGGGACAAAACCTTTTCCCACCCACTTTCATGTCTGATAATAGAGGACAGGTGAAAATGATTCCATTTACAGAAACTAGCTTTACATTCCACAGATCCCTGAGACACTGGGCCCCTAGCCGAGGGTCACTGGGTTTGGAGAAGAAGTTTGGTGACAAGGACCTGACTGAACATCACCAGTGGCATGCTGACCAGCAGATGACACTTCGGGCCCCTCATGCCACCCTTACCTTGAATGTCTCTCTCACCGTCTTCCCCCAACCCCCTGCCATCCTCACCCACCCCACAATTTCATGTTCATGGATTTGGGCAACAGTGAACATCAAAAGTAACTCAAAAAAGAAAAGGCTGTTAGGAAAGGGTATCCCCATGTGCAGATGGGGAGGGAGGGTGGCCAGTTTGTCTTGGAGATGCCTGGAGTCAGATATGCAGGGAGGTGACCTGGAGGGTTGGGGTGGTGGTTAGCTCCAGAAACCAACAGTTCCTGTTCCAAGACAGAGGGAAAAGTGCTAATGTAGAGGTCATTTATACCTTCAAAGAGAGGGCTTCAGGGCTAATGGCTTCCAGAGCTTGAGGTAAGAGTTGGGTCCACATCAGTCAGGGGTCAGAAAACGGAAATTTGTTCACTAGTGCAACATCTATTTATTGAGCATCTACTCTGTGTCAGGCCCAGGCCCATCAGATGGAAATATAACTGAAAAATTCCACCAAAAAGACAACAGACATGGCTTTGTCCTTGCAGAGCCTCCAATCTAGAAGTCTAGTGGGGGAGAAAGATACAGATTCGTTATCTGCATTAATTATTTATTAATTATCCTCTGATGCCACTGAGAGGTCCCGTAGCCCTAAGAGAAATTTGGACTCATCAAAGGGTCATGAGGCTTCCTTGGGGAAGTGAAGTCAGGGTCACTGCCTTGCAAAATCCCAGGGAGCACTGTTCACAGAGACATCTGAGTGACAGGTGTCTGTGGACCTGTGGAGACTGTGCTAAGAGCTAAAGGGAACAGTGGCTGTCAACTAGACAAAGAGGAGAGGGCAGGAGGGAAGGGCCTGGCAGAGACCCATGTGGGAGGCAGTGTTAGGAGGCATTTTGCAGGCTGTGTAAACCTTTTTATTTTTCTACGACTACGACCCTCAAACAGAGCTGCCTTCCAGTAACCTAGAAATTACACTCACCAATTTTCTTGCTTTGAGACAGTCACCCATGCTGTCTTTATTTCTTTATTTAGAGATTTCACGGGTGAACCTAATGGGAAGCCCACTGAGTGGCTCCTGAACTCTGACTTCCAACCAGGTCCTTGCTACATTTTGGACCTGCAGGATTCATTCCCAACAGAGTTTCTGGTGTGTTGTCCAGATATTTGCCTTTTATCATTCTTTCACTCAGTATCTCATCAGGGTGAATCATGGGAAACCATGATCCGGGGACACTGATTGGAGTCCAGCTCCTGGCTATGCTCTTTTCCCTTAGATTATCAGAGGAGGCTCTGGGTGGGTACCTGAAGGTTTGGTGTCTGGGCCGGAACCCACGGGGGCTGGTCAACCTTGTCAGACTTGTCAAACATTTTAGGCTTTGTTTGAAGAGCAATTGGGAAGCCATGAAAGTGTTTTTCTGAAGAGGGAGCTGTGATCAGATTTTGCACATTGACTGGTTAGGGCAAGACCCAGAGGGCATATACCAGTATGACAGTCACTTTGCTGGTGACATTCAGAGCACAGTGACCAGAATATCAGGAGCCATTCTCCCCCTCCCCTCCATCCTCAGCCTGCAGAGGGGCCATGTGGTGGGCATGCTCTGGGGATCTACACAGAATTAAAAATAAAGCTGAAAGTTCTTGTTGATTACAGGAAATGAGTTTTTTAAGAACTTGTTATCTCCCAGGAGCAATTTGGGCTGAGTCTTTTGACTGGGTGACTGAAAACAGTTGATGGTTTTGATGGAGCAGGAAAGGGGTCATCCAGGTTTGAGAAATGAGGCTTAGACACCAAGGGAAAGAAGCTTTCACAATGCTCTTCAGACATTTCTTTCCCCCTTTTGGGCCACTGGAGGGCCAATTTCTTGTGCAAGGAGGCTCTGGTTTCCCTGCCCTCTGGGAAGTGCCTTCTAGAGGTGGAGGGCTTCCCAGATATCCCAGCCACGTTCCTTTCTGCTCTGCAGGCCAGCACAGGTGTAAGTTTCAAATTCACCACATGGCTCTCTGCTACAAAACCAGCACTTTGACTGCTCTCCTTATGTTTTTTTTTTTTTTTTCTTTTTTAGGTACAGCATAAAAATAAAGCCTCCTTTTTTTCTGGAGAGATGGCTTGGGTCTCTGTTTTCAGCTTCAGACCACCGGGGCTCCCCTGGGACTTGATGACTGTTAGATCAGTGGAGTAGATTGCACCAAGCTGAATACTCCTGGGTGGCTGGTCTCCCAAACAGAAGCTCCTCACAGTAACCAACAGGTAGACACCCTCTTACTTAGCGAGAGGAGAGAGGCTCCCACACACATCAGAGACGCTGCTGTGGTCTAGATATGAGTAGTGTCCCCACCTGTCATCACCTGCTCTGTCTGAAGTGACTACAGCTCACACCACTCAGCATTCACTAAAGGGTCTCACTCAGAGCCCTTTACACAACCAATGCTTGGTTTCTGTTGAATAATAAATGTGATATGAGTATATGAGAAAATGTACAAATACATAATAAACAACCATTCTAGCTTGTTAGCTGTTTTTGTTGTTTTTTACGTTGTAAAAACTTTCAAACAAATATAAGAGTACAGGAAGACCTCATTTTATTGTGCTTTGCAGACCTTTTTTTTACAAATGGAAGGTTTGTGGCAATCCCATGTAAAGCAAGTCTCTCAGTGCCATTTCTCCAACAGCGTGAGCTTACTTTGTGTGTCTTCGTTGCATTTTGGTAATTCCTGCAACATTTCAGACGTTTTCATTGTTATAACAGTCATGGTGATCTGCAATCCGTGATCTTTAATGTTACTGTTGTAAATATTTCGGGGCACCATGAACCTTGCTCATAGAAGATGGGAGCTTACTTGATAAATGTTGTGTGTGCTCTGACTGTTCCACCCCCTGGCCATTCTGCCAACTCTCTCCTTCTCCTTGGGCCTTCCTATTCTTTGAGACACAACAGTATTGAAATTAGGCCAGCTAATAACCCCACAATGGCCTCGAAGTGTCCAAGCATAAGGAAGAGTTGCATGTTTCTTACTCAAAATCAAAAGCTTGCTTGAAATGAAGCTTAGTGAGAAAGGTGTGTTGAAAATCCAGACAGGCTAAAAGCTAGGTTTCTTGTACCAAATGGTCAGCGAAGTTGTGAATGCAAAAGAAATTAAAAGTGCTGCTTCAGTGAATATATGAATAACAAGAAATTGAAAAGCCTTATTACTGATACGTAGAAAGTTTGAGTGGTCTGGACAGAAACCAGCTATAACATTCTCTTAAGCCAAAGCCTAATCCAGAGCAAGGCCCTATCTCTCTTCAATTCTATGAAGGCTAAGAGAAGCGAGGAAGCTGCAGAAGAAAAGCTGGAAACCAGCAGAGGTTGCTTCATAGGGTTTAAGGAAAGAAGCCGTCTCCATAGCATAAGAGTGCAAGGTGAAGCAGCAAGTGCTGATGTAGAAGATGCAGCACGTTGTCCAGAAGATCTGGCTAAGATCATTGATGAAGGTGGCTGCACTAAACAACAGACTTTCACTGTAGATAAAACA